CCAGGGGAGCTTTGGGAGGAGTTCCACACGGCATAAAATTCCAGCAGGCAGTTGATGGGGGTGACAGATTGTCTTTAAAAACTACTTTGGCCTTCCATGGTGACAGGAAGACATGATGCACTCATAGGTTGGGAAAACAGAGTTCCCCTCTTCCTGTAAAAAGACTGTGCCCTGAGCTTGGCTTTTCCTTTTCTGGATCACAGTGCCAGCCACAGTAAAACCAACCCTTCTTTCCCCCTACAGTACCCATTCCCAAGCAGGCAGGAAGAATTTCTTCTCAGGAAAAGCTCATGGAAAAGGTGGTCAGTTAATAGAAAGGGGCTGCCCAGGGAGATGGTGGAGTCCCCATCCCTGGAGGTGTCCCAGGAACAACCGGACATGGCACTCAGTGCTCTGCATTGGGTGACAAGGTGGGGGTCAGGCACAGCTTGGACTTGATGGTCTTGGAGGTCCTTTCCAACCTCAATGATTCCTTGATTCTGTGATTGGCTTGCAGGAGGGAATTCCTTCCAGATTCAAGGCTTGCCACGGGTATTCCTGCTGCAGGATGGGCATGGCTCATCTCATCCAGCATCCCCAGGTAGAGCATCCCTAGGGAGCCACCCCAGGGGACCCTCTGGCTTAGCACCTGTCCCTGCTTCAGAGGGATGTTCTCACTTGCAAAGCACCTCTTATCCTGTACTCAGGAGAGCCAAGGCACCCTTCCAGTACCAAAGGTACCACTTCTGCACCAAAGGAATACTTTTCTCCTTGTTCTTCCCAATTCTTAGCAAAATGTTTTAAGCATTTGGGGACTTTTTTTTTTTTTTTCCCCAGTATAAGCTAAATTTATTTAATCTTTTCCTTTACTGCAGATTTCACCCAAGGGTTTGCCAGGAAGCAGATACATCTTTGACCAAAATGACTGAGGTCTGCTCCAGCACAACTCAGACAGAGCTCCTGACAAATGTTTTGCTGTCCTTGCCCTTGGATAATGCTGCCAGCCATGGATGCCACTAGCGTGTGACATTTTGTCCCTTACCTGTGGTTTTCATTCTAAACTGGTGCAAATCAAGAAAGGTTACACATATTTCAGTCAAACAGAGCAGGGGAGAAACACAGGCAATCCAAGCCACCTCAGGAGCAGGTAGGTAGAAAGAGAGACATATATCCTGGTTCTATACACCTTCTTAGCTTAATTTGCCCCTTTGAGATTGGGGTAAGTGTTTTTCTGAGGTTCCATGACCATATGGGACTTTCCTTCTTCTTCCAAGCCCACCTGGGCTTGCCTCTTCCTTCCATCCCACTCTTCACTCTTGCAGTCTAAATCATGGAATCAGGTGGTAAAGATTAAAACCACTCCTGAAAGCATCCTATGCAAGAAAGGAGCATTTAGAAGGCTAAATCCTCCAATCCCCTTATTCCAATTAGGGTCCTTTCTCTTACAGACCTGGGAGTGATGCAAGGAATTGCCTCCAATCTGCTCTGAGCTGGAGCAGCATCATCGTCATCGCAGTGGCGTGGGCCAGGCTCACCTGCAAACACACCAGAGACAATCCTCACTGCCCACATGGCCTCACACAGACACAGGAAGGAGAAAAAAGGAATGGGGGAGGTAGAAGTTCCTGAACACCCTGTAAGCTGATTAAAGGGTATTTTACGTAGGAAGGATTTAGCCATGCAGTTCCTAGTACCATCTGACCTCAATAAACACCCCTGCCATGGGCTGGTGCTGCCATTGCATGGGCCACAGCCTGTGCTGGGCTCCCCAAAGCTCAGCTGTACCTGGACAGCTCCATCAGGACTTGGAATACCATTGCTGGACATGTGTGGGGCATGACATGGTCCTCCTACAACCTTTTTGGCCTGGCTTGACCCCTGTGCATTTTGCCACCCCAAAGCCATGGTGCAAGGCATGGCTGTAAGATTTTGGGATGTGTTTTGGCCAGTCAAGGTGTCTCCAGGAAGAGCAGCTCCAGCAGATCCTGGGGTATGGGTTCTGGACAGGCTGGCAAGGATTGTGCAAACTTTGTAAGGACTGCCCTGAATAACTGGATAGATGGGCTTTCCTTGTCCAAGGCAGGAGCAACAATGTCCACGTGACAAAAGCAGCATTTATCCAGTCTGTTCTTAATGCTCTCTGGAAGGGGACTCTGAAGGCATACACACTTCTTCTCCAGGGAAAAATCTTTTCTGACCTCCTGCATCAATTACTTTGGAAGGTGAATGGGAATTTCTCTCCTTCAGAACTCAGAATGACCCCCAGAGCTCTGAGTGCTGATTTTGGAGAGTCTGCCTGCATCCTCCTTGTGCTGTGGGCCAGGATAGGTAGCTCTGTGATGAAATCCTCTCTTTTCTAAAATGCAGTTTCTTGTCTTTACTTCCAACATCAAAAAAGGCCAGGCTCACATGTTCTCTCAAACACTGCCAAATTTGGGGCTAAGGCATTTAACGTGGTTCTAAGGTGCTGCCTCTTCACACTGCAGATTTGGTGACCCCTCCCATTGTAAAGAGAAGGAAAAAGACCTTCCTCAGTTCCATTCTCAACTCTGATGCCTTTGAGAGAGCGGTAACCAGAACCTGGGTGTTGAAGGGGGGTGGCCCCTGTGTTTCATAATCTTTGTTCTCTGTCGGCACGAGGGTGTGCCCAGGCATCAGCGTGGCTGCTGGGAATAGCCCTGGCACCCATGGCAACTGGATTTACTTAATGCATCAATCACAGGTCTCTCCACGCCGGGCATGTCAGTCGGTGTCAAGCCTAAGCACAAGTGACTGCACAAAGATCCTGATGACTTTATACCTGGCAGCGTCCCCAGGGCAGCTCAGGGATGGCCCCAAAGCTCACAGATCCCTTCTCCATCTTGCCCTGGGGCATTTCTCCCTGCTGTCTTCAAAGAGTGTGTGTGCACAGCCTCACACCTCAGTGTCACCTGTTTGTGGCACTTTGCTGAAATCCTGTAAAACAGTTATGTGCCATGGACAGGTGAGTCAGGGCAGCCAGGGGCTGGGATCAGTCCAGCCCTGACTTTCTGCACCTGCAGGTGTGGCAGTGGTACAGGAGCAGGGGTCAGGTGAGGTCAGTCATTTCCTCTATCATTCATAGAGCCAGAAAATAGCCGAAAGCTTTTCTCTGCAGTGATGCTGCACATAGATAATGGGTTATAGATTACATCTAAATGGGTGATTTAATTCTGCTTTGTGCCTGCTGGATGCAGGCAGGGGGAATCTCCACTCCCCTGCTGTGACTTGGAGTGTTCACACAAATGGAGAATGGGAGAAGCAAAGTGCAAATTCACAAAGCTCCTTCCAACTGATATTGTTTGCAGGATTCTTTATTACTCTTATTTCCATAATGTCTCCTGATGAGAGCTTGATGTAAATTCTGGTTAAGGAGACTCAGATATTGTTTCAGGACTGAGGAATTAGTTTGGGCTCTGGTTTATACAGTTATAAATTTCAGCTTGAAAATGCTTTTGAGTTCTCTTCATGGCCCTGGATTTCCTCATCAGGGGCTTCCAGAGCTGCACTGGAGCTCGAGCCCACGTTTGTCACCTGCATTAAGGTGCAGCAGTGCTGGGCATGGCCACACTATTTTCTACCCCATCACCTTTTCACTCTGCCCCTGCTGCTGGAGGAAAACCCCATTTTTTGCTGCAAAGTAGTTATTCAGGTTACTTATTTCATGTTCTTCAGTCCCCAGAACCCTTCAGTGCCCTATTATATACCCTCTGCTGCCATCGTGGGGCCACTTGCTCATTCCAGCCTCTTCTCTGCCCTCATCCAGATTCTCATGGCAAAGCTTCCCCAGAGCTTGGAGGCATTTCAGACTCACTGAGGTTGTTCGCAGAGGAAGGAAAATCACATTAATAACTTTTACCTCCCTACATGTTGTTCAGCCTCTGAAGCTGCCACCACCACTGCAGGCAGAAGCAGAGGCAGAAGGCTGCAGCTGGAGAAAGAAGGTTCAGAGAGGAGAGGAAAGTGGTTGGGAAATGCCTGGGCCAGAGCAGGTCCCAGAGGAGGAAATGGGCTCCCCTGTCCCAGTGCTGACCATGGCATGTCCCGGTGCTCCAGCCCTGGAATGGGACCTGAAGTGTCCCTGCTGTTTTTCCCTGTCCCTGTTGCAAGGCTCTCTGCAGCCTGCACTCACAGGCTGGAGGGCTGAGGTTCTGCTCAACAGGCCCTGGGGCATTCTTCCAAGGGAAAGATGATGAGGAAAATCTTGTTCCTCCCAGTCCTCTAGTCTTTTCCAATGAAAAAGAAAGTTAAGTAGATAAAAAGTGTAATACAGTTTGCATTTCTCCAGTTGGAAGATTAAAAAAAAATATTTATGGTGCTTATTCCTTCCAAGCTACTTTATACCATATAAAGAAGGAGAGAAAGGGTAATCTTATTTTCTTCCTCTATTTCCATGTCACCTTTAGCTGCAGTATTTGAGACCAAGCAAACCCCAGCAATGGCAGGGAATATATTCAGGATGTTTTCCATGCATATGTAAGTATGCTGGGTTTTAGATGCTGTGACAGAATCTGTACTTGTCAGACCCTTCCCAGCTGAAACCACAGTTCAAAAGGTGGTGTCCCCTCATGGAAAAGTCAGCCCTGATCCTACTGATCAGGCAATGCTTGCCTGAATACAGTAATACGTCGTTCAGTACAAACAGAGACTCACTGACAGATCCTGGCAATCGCAAACATAGCCCAAGCCAGGATGAAATTACAAGAACAGAAGATTAAGCTCCTATCAAGAGGTAATTAAAGCCAGGAAATAATGATGACAATCATAGTGAATCAATTGGTACAAGGATGTTTGCCCAACAAATGTCATTATAGGCAGAAGCAGGAATTACTATCCATCAGCAGAAATATTCCATCAAATTGCTGTGAATGACCCGACCAGGTAATTAAAAGGACATTCCAACCCCGCTGCATTATTTGCTGTTAATCACAATTGTTCATATCCATATCTTTACCCAAATAATTGCTTCTGATAAGGCTGCAGATTTATAGGGGTCCCCGAGAGGAGCGGGCAGTGGAGCATCAGCTGCGAGCTGGGAGCCACCAGGCTTGGTGAGTCCAGCTGGGGTGGGGGGGCTGCCTTTCCCCCCTCACTTTGGGGGGTGGATTTCAGACCTCTGTGATGCCTCACTGAGCCATTGCTATGAGGCCATCCATGTCCTGAGCAGCAATGCTGGAATAGGGGGGGGTTTCCCTTCTCGGGGTTCCCAGGTTGGCTTGGGGTGTAGTCCTTTCAGCTAAAGGTCCCAGCTGGCCAAAGAGTTTGCAGTCATTGAAAACCAGCATCAATGGGGAGGAAATGAAAAGCTTGGAAGTATCCTAAGAAGGTTTAACAGCCCTTCAGTGATGACACTGGAGATCTACCTGCTCCTTGTGGTCTGGCTAATTTGAAAAAACAATGCAATCATTATTGATAGGCAGGAGAAATTCCCCATCACTAATCCTGACAACTTCAGCAAGCAAATTTGGTCTACCCAGGGGAGACAAAATTATGTCCAGAAAGAGAAAAAAGAAGTTGATCACCGGATTAGCAGCTGGAAAGGTTATGAAGAGAGAGGAAACTCTGGAGCCAGGGATGGGGTTTAAAATGGTCTCTTAAATATGGTGATCCCAGAGGGGTGCCAGCCCAGGGGAGGCCAAATGCTGAGATGAGATCCTGGGGTCAAGGGATTGTGTGACAGCTGTTGGGCAGATGGGAGGACAGTCTCAGGATTCAGGCTCCCCTTGCCCAAGGATGCTCTGGTTTTGGTGGCTGTTTTCTGCTCCTCCTGCATCCCAGGGCTGTGGAGTCTGCCTTGTTTGGACTCCAGTAAGATGCTGATCTTTGAAATGTCCTTCTTCTTTTACTATTCCATCCCCTCAAAGATGGATCAGGCAGGAAAAAACAACACTAAAGCTCCAAGTCTGTGTGAGATTAAGCTTATGGTACCTTCATCTGTTTGCTCTGCAGCCCCCATTAAATATTTGCCCTGTGGTTTACAGTGAATAAATTTCTGTATAAGTCCCTCACTCTTGTCCTTTCTCCTTGTGCCTCTTCTTATCTTGCAGCACCCCCAGAGCAGCAAACAGTCCCAGAAGGGTGGCTAGAAGGTGTTCAGAATTCTCAGACAGTCCTTTCATGTTCTTTGTACTGTTTAGCTTCAGAATAAAGTAAAAACCAAGTGGGAGGACTTTGATTTGGGGTTAGCCAAGTGCTGTCTTGAGAGATTGCAGGGCAGTGGTGGAGGTTTGTTTCTTTGCAGGAGGAAGGCAAAAAATAAAGGAGTGTATTTATAAATTACAGGTCGAGTTGCTGTGTGATCCTTGAGGAAGGGTGAGCACCTGTGAATAAAGGGTAGAAATGTGCCATGGCTGGTGATAAACAAAAGAACTTTTTATTTCAGCAAGGAAACAAAATAGGAGGGCCTGCTGTGACTGCAAATCTGTGTTATTTCATTTTTCCTTTTTTGAAAGGTTAGAGGATACATGGATATGGGCACACACATGAGCCCTTCTTCTATATGTGAATGAATTTTATTTAGCACATGTGATTCTTATATTTTTTTTTGTCTGAAAGCCCCTTGCAGATGTCCTCAGGTGTTTATCTCTGCTGGCAGGAATTCCTGCCTTATTTAGTTACAGTGGTGGTGTTCCCCCATCTCAGTGGGGCACATGAACTGCACCAGATACACACCAGGGTCACTTGTCCTGCTACTCACAAAACCTCAGGCTTTGTTTCAGGAGACAACATGGTTTCCATGATGACAGCTCTGTGGCAAGTAATTATTCCCATGATTGTCCTTTCCCACTTCTCAGCATCTCTGCCACCCTGGGAGAGGTAAGCATTTCTTGGGACCCTGCTCTCTTTTTCTCTGTGGTTTTTGCTCAAAGAGCCTGCTAGCTGAAAACCCAGCCTTTTAGCTGCCTTCCTGAACTTAATCTGCTTGCTTGTGAATCTTCCTCTCCCCTAAACAGATTTAGTTAAATGAATGCAAACACTGTAAATGTTTTTTCTTGCTTAAGAACGAAACATTAATTTTATTTAATCTGTGAGGAAATTTGTGACTGCAAAACAAAACACAATTACAAAAACACTTTTGAGTCTGCTTTTCTCCTGCACTTGCACAGCCTGATAAAGGTGAGAGTTTCTGTTTCAAATAGCCTGGTCCCATGAAAATATAACCAGAAATAGGCAACCCTGTAAGTTCACCAAGTTCACCAAGGGAGTCGCCTGCAAGGGCTGGTCTTCACTGCCCTTATCTAAGTGCTCTTCAGGTTTGTGTCTCTGGATCTTTGTTCATTACTTCTCCAGCCTCTTGCCCTGCTCTTTTGTGCTGAATCATCAGTAACCTCACATTCCCACATCCTTGTGGTAAGGTGATTACATCAGCAAAAGCAAGGGCAGGTCGTTTTCCTGTGTGATGTTTAACAAAGATATTTTTTAAACTCCCCTTTTTTCCCATTTTTTGTGAAACTTTGCCAAAGCAACACAAATTCTTGCCCATGTGTGTTTGGGACTCTCTTGCCTTGAGGCAGCAGTGTTTAATGTCTGTTCTTGTGTGCTTTTAAACCATTCCTTTTGACCTCCGCCTTCCCTGTTCCAACATGCAGGACGGAGCGCCACGCGGACGGACTCTTCCACAGCGAACTCAGCAAGATGAACGGCAACGCTTACGTGCAGCAGCTGGTCAAGCACCTGGTGGGCCTCAAGGACAGGTGAGGACCAGCCACAGCCACCCTCCTGGGGCAGGGAAGTCTCCAGTGGGACGTGCCGTGGCTGGGAGGTGCTGTCCCACGTTGTCCCCACGCAGGTCCCAGAGGCACTCGGATGGGCTCTTCACCAGTGAGTACAGCAAGATGAGAGGCAACGCCCAGGTTCAGAAATTCATCCAAAGCCTCATGGGCCGCAAGCGCAGGTGAGAGGAAACCTCTGGTGTCCCTGTCCCCACCTCTCACTGCCACACTGGGCCAGCAGCTCCCACTGAGGCCATGTCTGTGAGCACAGCAGCAGGTACAACACAAGGTGCAAGTGCTGCCCTGCAGTGGTGGTGGTTTGGGGTTTTTAATTATTATTATTATTATTAATTATCTTCATCTAAACCAGCTCTCCTGGCCCGGTCAACACAGACATGCAGGGGAGAGAAGAAGTAAACAACCCTGAGGAACTTTGCTTTTTCTGGCTGTACCAGAGCTTTCTGAACACCAGGTAGGTGGGAGAGATTGGTCACCTCTGTGACTCTGAGCCCCACAATACTGAAGCCAAAAGAGGAATTTTATGAAGGGCTGTAGAATAATCAGTTGTTAAAACCAGTAAAACCCAGGGAAGTAAAATAATATATTTTCTTAATCATTTCCTAAGAGTTGTCATTCTGGATTGAAGCAATTATTCATCCCATTAGGAAATGTGATCTAATGGTCAAAATTGAAAGAAAGCCTTTGCTACCCTGTCTGGATTCAGGTGATGACTGAAACACACATCTCAAGATGGGTTGTCCCAGCACCTGGATATTGTCTTTTCCTAATGCCCAACAACTTTCCCTTAGATATCTCTTTCTTAAATCACTGAAATTAGGAGGAATAAGCTGGCCCTTGGTACCTCTTGTGTCCACAGCCTGGCAGCAGGCTGCCATGATCCCTCCATCATACACCCCCTCCTTGGAGTCATCCTTGAATGTCACAAGGTGGCCTTGTCACACTTCCTGCAGCCCATGCTGTCAGAAATAATGGACTATCCCTGATTTTTCCCTTCCCACAGCCGCTCGGACAGAGATGCCAGGGAGGCTGCTGCCATTACCAGCCAGAACCTTTGCCCCTTCTCTAAGCAGCTGTTTGCAGATGTGACAGAAGATACAGATGGTTCTGAATGAAGGTGAAGGGAAAGAAACGGCCAAGGAGACAGCTTTGTACATGTATGGCCTTGAAAATAAACAGGGAAGCTCTTGCTTAGGAAAAACTCTTGAGATAGGCAAATAAATAAAAATAATCCTGGAAAGCAGTAAAAAGCCAATGAAACCTCTGAGATTATGCAAAGTGAAATGTATGTGGGTGTGTACTGCTGTCAGTAGATGGAGCCTGGGTGAAGCACATCCCTCCACTCTGTGTTGGCATCTGACTGCCTGCTGCTGATCCCAAATAAAAATGGTTAACTGTGCCTGTGCCTTGGCTGCTCTTTGGGAAACTGGAATAAGGGTGGTTCCTTTACAAGGTCTTGGATTATTAGGAATAATTAGGAATTATTAGGAGAGGAGCATTTTGCCAGGATTCCCCTACAGGAGGCATGGTGGTACACATGGCTGGGATTGGGGAGTGCCTACAGTACAGCTGTGCACAGAGGTCAGAATCAAGGCTCCATGTAGTAGGAACAAAGGCACATGTTAGGTCTCACTGCAAAGAAATGTTTTGAGAGCTACACAGCAGAGATACTCACTGTAGAAGTTGTTTCCTCTCCATTCTGTCCCTGGAGTTGGTGGCCCAGTTTTCTCAGAGTCACTAAAGACAAAGCTCCACAGGGAGTAGTTTGTTCCCCCCACTTACTGAGGTTTGTGTGCTGTCCCTGTGCCACACAGACAGATGGAACAGCCACGCCAGCTTTCCTGTAAAACCAGTGGAATTTGGAGAGAAGCTCTAAAATAAGGATCTTTAGCTGCAATCCTGTGCTGTGCAGCCCTGCCCAGCCCATCCTGCTCTGGCAGTTTTCACCATCTATGAGAGACCTGACACCTGCAAAAGGAGCTGTTCCCACTCAAATACACATACCTTAAAACCATTCCCTTACTGAGGAGCTGAACATACCTTGGCAGTCGTTCATTTTGGTCCATAGGAAATCTCTGCTAGGTAAGATTCCTTTTGGAATACTTTTGGAAGGAGTACTGACAGCCTAGATTTCATTAAGCTGCTAAAAACCACCTGGCTGAGGTGCAGCATCTGAGAACTTCCTGAAATCAGAAAGAATTTTAAAAGATCAGTGAGAGCAGAGATCCCCTGAAAACTTCAGGAAGCTGCTGAGATTCAAATAGTTGAAGATTTCCTGGTGTGGAATCTCCTGGAAGGGGATTCTGGGAAGCATCTCTACAAGGATCAGCCACCAGTAGGAGATATGTTTTCCCTACAAAGTTGCTGGACATTCCCTGGACTGCAGGTGAGCCCTGTCACTGCTGGGATCCACTTGCTCACCTTATGTGATACAGACCCCAACTCTGGCACATCAGAAACCAAATTTTCCACCTTCCCTGTGTCCCTTCCTGGAGTACACAGGCAGCTTCCCAAGTACCAGCCCTTGTCCTTCATGCTCAGCTGGGCAAGGGCTTGGCTCTGAGTTCTGAACTGCTTCAAATATATCATTGTTGCCACAGAGAGTTTAGGATAGGAAAGATCCAGGAAAAAAGAAGCAGCGAGGATTTATGTGTAATCCTGTTCTTTGACTGGTGAACCCTTCAATAAGTCATCCAATGGGGCAAAGAGGCAAAGGTTGAACCACGGCAATCCACAGCCAGCTGGTGTTTCTTGGTGCCATAAAGTGGTGAACACAGACAAGGGCACAGGGCGGAACAGGGAGAAGATCAGCTTAGCTGGCAAAAGGGATTCTTCAGCAACTGGCAGCTCACCATGGCTATTCCTCACTGGCTCCTCATGTCTGCCCTCTTTCTGCTGCCCCTCCTGGCACAGGTTTTGGCACAGGAACCAGGTAAGCTCTTTGATGAGGTCCATGTCTCTGAGGAATGTTTCCCATGGGAGGGGGTGGCCCTGTTACAGGTGGGGCGTTGCTACGCTCCAAGACACCTTTTCTCCACAGCTTGTGACCACAGCTCTCCCCCAGCTCCTTCACAATGTGAATCCTTGGGCAATTTTGCATCTTATTTGTGTGTTTTTCTAGGATGTTCTGTCAATAACAACAAACCAAGTGTTCCTGAAAATAAATGTCCTTATGTGGTGACTACTGTCAACGTGCGGCCAGGTTTCACCCTAACAATTGACCCCAATTTCCCCGATGGCCAATTCTTCACCATTGAGGGCTCGGAGCTGCAGCTGACGAAGTGTGTGGACTATGAGGTAAGACTTTAGCTGGCAGGGCTGTAAGGATGGGATGGATAATGCTGGGATGCAATGAGTTTCAACCTGGAGCCTTGGGCTTCCAGGGATTCTTAACCTGTTTCTAAAGGGAATAAGTTATTTCAGCTGTGTGAGTTTGGGAGCTTACAAAAACGATGGAGACCATTTATAAGGGCCTAGAATGACAGGATAAGGGGGAGTGATTTCAAACTGCCAGGGGACAGGGTTAGATGGGATATTGGGAAGAAATTATTTCCTGGGAGGGTGATGAGGACCTGGCACAGGTTGCTCAGAGGAGTTGTGGCTGTTCCATCCCTGGCAGGGTCCAAGGCCAGGTTGGATGGGCCTTGGAGCAACCTGGGATAGTGAAAGGTGTCCCTGCCTGTAGCAGGGTGTCGGAATGAAATGAGCTTTAAGGTCCTTTCCCACCTAAATCATTCTGGGATTCTGTCATCTTGTGTGAAGCAGAAAGGCAGTATGAACAGTCATTGTGTTCACTTAGGTTGCTGCTAAATTATTTTAGCTCCCTGGAGTGCTTTGTATACAGGACAGGCATACTTAAGCTCCCTTTCAATGTAAACCCCCACTTTTACTTGTGTGAAGAGCAACAACTGGAGCTAACACCATGCAGGTGCTATTGTACTTGCTGCATAGAATGTTTCTGATTTATTCAATTTTAAAAGAAATCTGTTAGTATTCACCTGAGGTGAGAGAGAATGGCAGATTAGCTCTGCCAACAACTTACAGAAACTTCAGGGAGAGTGTCTAGAAGATGGGGCTGCTTTGATATCATCATAAACAAGACCCCAGCATTAAGGGAAGAAAGGAAAAGTCAGATACTCCTGAAAATAAGATAAAGCCCAGCAGCATTTCTGATTCATCAAAGCATGGATTTGGCTCATTTGCTTTAGCCAGAGTTTGTACTCTTGGGCTGTTTTTACAGTGGGTGGGTTTGTTTTTCATGCAGGAAGACCCTGTGCTGCTGCTGTACTTGATCTGCAAGGACCCTGCTGGCCAGGTGAGTGCTCTCCCACCACTGAGCCCTGGGACTGCAGGCAGCACCTGCTTCCCTCTGCTCTTCCTAATCCTCACATTGGGATGGGCAGATGTTCTCTTTGTGGACAGACACGCTGCTCTCATAGCCACAGAGAGAGCCAAGGCTCTGCCACTGAGGAGGAGGTGGCAGCAAGCCCACAAACCCAGCCCCATTCAGCCCCCATCCTTATACCATCCCCTCTGGCCATTCTGCAAAGCAGGTTGAGCCCCAACAGTCTTTGTCTTTGATCCTTTAATTTGATTCTTTAATTTGCCCAGACTGATTCCTTGGAAATCCTAGTCACCATTCTGAACGAGAATGACAACAGCCCCGTGTTTGCACAGCCAAACATCACCAGGGATGTCCCAGAGGTAAGGGGTTTTTGGAAGAGAAGAGGGCACTGCTCTCTGGGTACTGTGGGACTGAGGAAGGGTCAACAGGGAGAGGGCTTCAATCAATTTCACACAAACAATAACTTCAACAATGTGTTTTTTTCAGGATACAAAAGTAGACACAGCCATTGTAGCCCGTGAAGAATTAAGTGCTACTGATGCTGACCTGGACACCATCTACTATGAACTCACTACCACAGTGCAGGTGAGTATCTCTGGGGACAAACTGTAGCTCTAGAGAAGCTGGATGCAGAAGAACCCCAGCTTTGAGGACAAGATCACTGCATTTAGTTCTCTCAACTTTTACAAACCCCAAACATTGATTTAGTTAGCGGAGCAGAGCCATCAATGCTGCAGGTATTGAATTCTCTTATGGCTCACATTTTTAATGCACTGTACAGATTAAACTTTAATCTAGGATATTCAGAGCCATAATGACTCAGAGAAGCCTTGCTGGTATGATCTGCAAACATATCAGGAGACCTTTGTACCTCAGGGAACTCAGAATTGCGCTGAGTCGGATGGGGAAAGGAGTCCTCGCCCTGCCTGCCAACAGCAGCACAGGAAATGGATTGTGCACACAGTTAAATCACAGTCTAGAGCACAAGAGCTGGCTGTAAACTCAAATCAAAAGGAAATTCAAGAGAAAAGCCAAATGTTTGTTTGTACTTTTGAAATGCGTTGTGGAAAGAGCAGCCAGTGCTTTAATATCCTTTCTGTGAGCAGAAGCCACCAGGTTTCAGCTCTGGGATCAGCCTTTGCATTCACATTGGTGTAAGTTCAGAGGGATTTAGAAATTCAGAGGCATAAAATTAATGGAGAACCAAAGCAAGTGTGGAAGGTTATAAAGTAAAATGCAATGCATGATATTTCAACTCAGCTTTAGTTTCTTTCAAAGTTCGGCTGTGTTAGGCTAAGGTGGGTGATCCTGCCAGCTCTCAAAGGCTGAACCATCTTTGACCTTTTCTGTGCATGGAAGTGAGATTGTTTGGCTATTAGGGACCCAAAATCAAGGATTGTTGGCAACTTGCTAGAAGCAGGAAAGAAATGAGGTGATAGATTTCATCCAGAAGCTGCTGAGCAGATGGGCAGTCAAAGCAGGAGGTCTGGGAGAGGAGATTCACAAGAACAAACTTTTCTGATAAGCCAGGCAACTTCAGTGTGCAGTACCAAAGTAGATCAGACGTTCCCACAGTGCCCTTCATCCAGGTCTCCAGGACTAAAGGTCCAGTAGGGATGACAAAGACAGCAACGAGCAGGATTTGGAATGTGTCTGTGAATGAGTCTGCTATAGGAGTTTTTCTTTTCCCTTACCAGGACACAGATGGTTATTTTGCCATAAGAGGAGTTAATAACCCAGAAATTTATTTACAAAAAACATTGGACTATGACAAATTTAATTCGACAACGTTGCTCTTGTATGCCAGGGTAAGTGGTTTGGGAAGAACAGAATGTCTCTTTTGCATGGTCCCTCTTACCTGAAGGATGAGTCTGGATGGGACATCTCTGGGATAACAGGAGGGAGGTGGGGGATTAGGTGTGGGGGGGTGGTGCATTTGGAGCAGCCTTTCCCTGTCCATTAATTCCAGTGACAGACCTGCAGTCAGCCCACCTTTGTCAGCAGAACAAGATAACCTACTGCTTTAGCTACCCTCACATAAATTGCTAATTAAACAGATTGGAGTGACAGTGGCTAAAGGGCCCCAGGCCACTGCTTTTAGCAGATGGGGCCTTGTTTTGGCAGTGAAACTTGTGTCTCATGAGTGTGCTTTGCCTTGGGGGCAGGACAGGCCTGTGAGCAGCCCCGAGCCCAGCAACAATGCCACTGCAACAATAACCATCACCATCCAGCAGAGTGACACCCGGGCACCCTGGTTCCTGCCCTGCACCCGGATCCACACTGACGCCAGCGTCTGCATCAGCAGCCCCTACTCTGGCAGGGTCAACATCTCCGAGATGTCGGTGAGCAGAGGGCTCAGACAGTGCCCCTGCTGCTGTTCCCAGTGGGAAGCACTGAAACATTTCCATGAGCTTCTGCTGGTCTCCAGTGTAACCATCTCCAGATGGTTCAGCAGAACAGGGAGCCTTTGTCAGACCCCCACCCCAAGCAGCACTGCTTCTCCCTGCTCCTACAGCACATCACAGGAGAGGCAAGAGCTGGAACACCAGCTCAAGGCTGTCTCACCTCTGCCCTGGCACAGGCACCAAATCCTGTCCTGCCCAGGCAGAGCCATAGGATCTGCACTGGGCTGGGAGAGCTCCAGATCTGGTCCTGGCCTATGGTGTGTGATTGTTTGAATTGTTGTTGCAGACAGAGCCACTCCTCCTGGAGCCAGGGCCCATCTATGCTATAGACCCTGACTACACCATCAGTGACAGGATCGTGTACAGCATTGTTGGGGGTGAGTAGGTCTTGTCACCTTCCACAAGGGACACTGCTCGTGTCTCCTGTGCTACCTGCCAAGAGCACTTGAGGGAGGGCCTGGGATTTCTGCCACAGAGACAAAACTAGAGCCACAGAGCATTGGTGATTAAGTAGAGGAAACAGACTGTACAGAGAGGAAGAAAAAAATAATTACAGTCCCACCAACTGGTCCCAGTGAAATGTTTCAAAAAGACTTTGTTTTTTTGTGAGATGAGACTTGTTTTATCTTTAAGTTTTAAATGTGATTTTGTCAATCTGATCATGCTATTTTCATGCAGTGTTTGAGCTGAACCTAAAATTTCCACGTTATCAGCCTAATTTCTATTCATTGCCCAGAATTGTGTTTTAATTCCCTAGCACATTGCCACTATCTCATCTTCCCTGTTTTAGTCTCAGTTTCAAAAGGATCAAAGGAAAGGTCATATTGGTCAAGTGGAGTGTTCCTCTCCCTTTATCTATTATGCCTCATGGCACCACAGTTGTGATATTCTCCTGATATCACAACTGTATTTAAGATGTATTAAAAATGTATTAAAATGTATTAAAGAACATTAAATTCCACTGGCATTTTGGCTACCCTCTCCACAGTCAGTGACTCACATCCTTGTCAACAGAGAGCCCACAGTGTCCCAGGGTGAGGAAAAGAACTGAAAATTCTGCTGATCTTACAACATGTATCCAACATAGGTAGTGTTATGATTCCCACACAGATGTAGGAATCTGATTTCTACCTGTACATAAATACAAGGTTTGTATCTAGACTCCCTTTGTAATCAGCAGAGAGAAATGAGCATTCCCAGAGCAGACTGGGAACTGGATGAAGATTTTCAGTCCTAAAATTGTACCAGAGGCTCTGGGCACTTATTACACTTTACATTGGCAATCTGTGGGCCTAGGCACTGGAAATGCAAAGCTTTGTTGTCCTGACTCATTTAATTGGGTTCACACACATCTAATGTGTCCCTCTGCATCCCTGGCCAGCACTCCCAGTCTCTGGAGCAGCCAGGCAGGCAAGGAAAGCAGCATTTTTCCTTGGCTAAATGGTATTCACCCAAGGAAAATTCCTTGATGGTATTTTCACTAAGATGTGGAAGAAATGAGTCTGTGAGCTCCAGGTCACTTTATGAAGGAATCTGATGTTTGAATGGTCTTTGTATTTTCCCTAGGGAATACAGACAACGTGTTCTCAGTGGATGCAGACACAGGGAATCTAACCATGAACAAAATAGTGACTTCCCCAGATTCCTTTTTGTTGCAAGTTATGGTAAGTGATGGCATTACAGCCAGCCACCCAGCTCAGCTGGATTTCCAGGAAACTGAGCTGGTTGTGACAGGGATCAGTGACCTCAGTAATAACTTGGTTACTTCCCTTCTTTTGAAGGGCCCAGTGTTTGACCTATGTCTTGCACCAACCCACATGCGAAACTCCTGCAGCAGTTGAGAGTTTCCCCTCAGGTGTGGGTGGTGACAGCAAAGGAAATTCACCCTGGCCACATTCTTCTGAGCTGGGAATTGCAACAGGCTCCAGATCCAGCCTGTCCTTTAGTGTCTCATCAGGGGCAGGAGAAGTCTGGCAGTTCTCTCTCTTTCTCTGCAGGCTGCCCAGGCCAGCAACATAAGGAAATACTCTGTAGCCACTGTAGAGATCAAGGTCATCAATAAAAGCAATTTTCCACCCTACTTTGAGAAGGGGGTCTACAACGGGATGGTGTTTGCTGGGCTGCCCCAGAGAAGCTTTGTCTACCAAGCTGGAGATCCTTCCACCCCCCTGGTGATAACAGCAATGGATCAGGATTTCCCTGATGTAAGAAACTAAAAGTGCTCTGTCTTCTGTCTCACTGCTTCAGGCTTAAAGCAGCATCAGGAAACACAAGGGAGGGGAGGTGGGGAGGGGCAAACACATGTTGTCCTCTAGTGTTCCATGTTATATTCCCTTGGAAATTCCACAGAAACCAGAACCACTTACGGTTTGATGTAATGGGGAGAAGCTGCTGGACTTCCCTCTTCCAAAGCCATTCCCACACAGATCACTTGCATAGGTGTGTTTTCCTTGGGGAAGTACTAAAGTTGCCAACAGAAGCTGGATTAAGACTTGAGATTCTTTCTTTTTTTTAATATTTTTGTGATGCTTTCTTGGCCTCTAAGCAACAATGTGAACACAGTTGAGTTCAGCCTTTCTCACCTGCTCAGCCCAGGTTTATTTATTACTCTTCACACCTGCTCCTCAAAAACCTGTCCTCAGAACACCTCAGGTATTTTGGACAAAGCCTGCCAAGGGGTTGCTGGGAGGATGCATGTGAAGCACAGTGTGGTTTGATCACCTGCTCTCTGACCTTTCAGAAAGTCAACCCCAACATTGAGTATTTCCTCAAAAACAGCACCGATTTCATCGCAACCAGGGATGGGCTCATCCTGACCAACACAGTGCTGGAGTCCCCAGGAACTGTGACCATCCAGGTAGGGCACCTGCCTTGGGTATTTTTTCAGGGATGTGGAAAGAAGGAGGAATTCAGCTCCCCTTTTTGCTTGGGTCAAAGGAAGCAGTCACTAACTTTAGACTTGTAAGAAGCTGGATGAGCCCTTTGTCCACACACCTGCCTAAGGCTTGCCTGGCACAGTGCCATGCCCTGTGGAGCTTCTGACCCAGCCTGGCCACAGCACTGCTGGATCCACAGCTGGAAGCACAGAGAGGTCCAGCCTGATGCTCCTGCCCCACACTGCCTCAGAACACGTGCTCTGCACTGTGCTGGGAACTGAACACAGGGCAGGGATGTGGTTCAGCTCATCCACTCCCAGGGCAGGGAATCTTCAGAGCTCTTGTTCCCCTGTGACCAGGCTGTGCAGCCACAGTGAATGGCTGTGCTGAGGATAGGAACAAGGTACTTTCTCCTCAAAGGACCCCCCACAGATCTTGAGAGTGCACTGGAGATCTGGAAGTCCCTAAGCCCATCTCTTTCCCGTGTTCCCACAGGCTGTTGGAAAAGATGTGTTGAGCCTGCAGGAGGCAAGCACCATAATTGTGGTGGAGGTCGTCCTTGCCACAGGTAGGCTGGGAAGGTCTCTGTTTTCTGCTCTGGGCAGTCTTTTCTATTTCTGTGGCAAACTGGCCATGATGGGTCACTTGCTGAAGCCTGTGGGCCTGGGCTGAGGCCAACCCCAACCCTACAGGAGGCTCTATGGTGGCTTTAAGAGGCAAAACACCCCAACAACATCCTCACAGCTCAGTCACCACATGCCTCAAAAAGCCTCCTGAGACTTCAAGTGGTGCTGCATATGGGAGTGTCTTTTCTCATTGTTCCAAAGCTAAATCTGGGCTTGGTTCATGCTGGGAAATAACCCAGGATGTCTTATCATGGCAAAGGAGACTTTGGCACATCATTGCTCGTTTTTAGCCAAACACAGACAAAACTGCAATGTTCTTACTTGTCTTAGGCAGAGCAGAGGGCAGCTGGCACACCCCAAAGCCAGGCTTGCCCATGAGCCAAGACATTTCTGCCCAGGGCAGGTCAGGGTCTTTCACATCAGGACTTTATGGTCTTACAGGAGAAACAGCCCATGAGTACTAAGAGAGACATGAGGCTTCCTGCGTAACCCTCCAGCTACTGTTTAACTTTGTCGATGTAAAAACAGCTCACACTTCCATGCTGCTGAGAAATGACTCTTAAATTGGTCTTATAAATAAATTAGGATTGAAGTTCATGAAACTTTTATGCTTTGAGACGGACCAATAGCAATGAATTTTTATCTCAGGATAGGCAGAAAATGCCCAGGCTTCACTGGGTTCTACACAATGATGTGCGACTGAAGTTCCATCACTTCACCCTCTCATCACCACCTTTGTGGGGTGGGAAAAACAAATGGGCTCCTGGGTCTAAATTTGGATTGATTCCCTAAAGGTAGTGTCACTTCACAGCTAAAAGCCACTAAAACCCCATTTAAGGGCACAGCCCGGTGTAAAACTAGTCCATGTGTGAGCTTACAGAGCTACAAATGCTCCAAGCATGTACCAACACTTCTGGGCAACTTTGAAATGTTGCCCCTGCTGCTTAAGCCACACAAAGCAATGGTACTGTTGAATATGCAGAATTACTCAGCTCTATGACTCTCAGCCTGTGGGCTGTGGCTCCCCAGGAGACAAGATTAAGCAGCAAAAATTCACTGAGGTCCTAAATCCTTGCCAAGGTGTTAATGATAAACTGAGGGTGGAATCAAATGCAGAGGGATTACTCCAATTCCATTATCATAAACAAGTCAGCAGCAGAACAGAACCTTGTTTCATTAATCATTAATGAGAGTAATTTATACTACAAAATGAAGCTGGGAAACTTCAATAATACCACCACCACCACCACCAAGCAAAGCTGAGAATGGTACTGTCTTTCCACTCTGGTATCAATCTCTGCACAGCTACCCAACACTGACCAGTGGCACTGACCATGAGCAGACTGGGGAATATTGCTACAGCTACAAAAGGGCAGGAAATGTTTTATTGTCCTGGGGACTTTCTAATGCTTTTCCTATTTCCAATCCGATTTTTTGTTGCTTATTTTGATGTGCTCATCTGTATTGGAGGGGATGTTCCAGATGAAAGGAAACTTTGCATTTTCACACACAGATGTACAATCAAACCTCATTTTTGCATTCAGTAGAAGGGTGTAGTGTAAAAGGGTGACGTGGGAAAGTCAAAGAACTAAATGGCTTTACTCCATGTAGCAAATGCTTGCCTGATGCAGTCAGGTTTTTATTAACTTAGTTGAATCATGGGGCAAAAGTCACCATCCTGTAAATGGCTGCTATTTCCACTTAATGGAATTTATTGGAAATGACAATATTCTGTGTAATAACAAAAGAAGCCCTCTGCTTTTTTGCCCTCAGCAAAAGAAGATTTTCAGGGGTATCATATGTGATTGTCACATTCTGCAGCACAGGATGCTTCCTTGCCTTTCAAAACTTGCTTGGAGCTTCTCCCACAGTGAAGGGTTGTGCTGGAAAATGCTGCCTGCCACTTTCAGGCTTTGTAACACTGGTTTGTTTTCCTTGCAGCTGTAACCCCCTCTGACAAGATGTACTCTGCTCAGGACATGGCTATCTTAGGGGGCATATTAGCAGCACTGCTGTTAATTGCCTTAGTCTTCCTTGGAGTGCTGGTGTGGAAATCCAGTAGATGGTATGGGAAACCTGTCAAATACCTGATGAAGAAAAAGGTCAGTGTCTTGTTTGTACCTGAACTTCTGAGAGGTAGAAAGTGGGATCTGAGGAAGTGTGGATGGGCTGCCCAAGTACCAGACATTGGTGTGAGAGTGGTGAATCACTCCCAAGACGAAGTTTGCAGAGGTGGCATCACTTTGGTGGTGTTTGCTGCTGTTCTTTCTGCCCCTGAGGCTGGAGCTGTGTGATGGATGAGGGGCAGACGTGGTAAGAAGAGCACCACAGCTCCATGGAGCACAAAATCTAGGATAAACATGGCACACATCAGGGGCAGTCTCTGAAAAACACCTGTCTGTGGTTCATCCTCCCTAGTCAAAGGAGAGGAGTCCCTTCATATCTGATCCCAAAGCCCGGGCTCAGACACTTGTCTGCACCTGAGCTATTTAATTTTGGATGTCTCAGGTCCCTGGCAGATTGGTCACTGGGAAGTTTAGGGTGTAATTTGTCTGACCAGATGTTGGTCTGTGCCATAGGCTGGGCCTGCCAGGAGCCCTGAGTGCAGAGCACATTGCTCAGGTGGGTAGCAGAAGTCCTTCACCCTGAGTGAGGGAAATCCCACTGCAGAATGGGGTGGGTACAAATCACCATGTGTGTGGTGCTGGTCCTCAGCCCTCCTGGAGAACAAATCCACTCATCTGAGAAAACTCCAGAAATGGAGCCAATAAAAAAATGTTTCTTCCAGGGATCTGCATCTTTCCCTGCCTTCAAATGGGTCTTTCTGCAAACCAAGCTGAACTTTCCTGAGCAGGAGCTCAGTCACTGCAGCCACCCCTTCCCTCCTGCACCCCATTTCTTTTCCTGTCACAGTCACAATGTGTCTCTCCTCCTGTAGCTCTCCACGGAAATCTCTGGAGGTCACCAGAACGAATATTACCAGGAAGATGAGCAGCCTTATGTGAACACCAAGCAGCATGAGCCATCAGAAACCAGCAGTGTCCAGGCAGAGCCTCCTGTGCCAGAGCAGCCAGCACTTGCTTTGTACTCCTCTGGTGCAGAGGAAACAGAGAGTCTCCCAAAGGACTCCATAGCTTCCACTGTCATCTTTAACCAGGAAGAGAAAGAGGAAGAAAAGGAAGAAGAGGCTGAACAGGAGAAAGAAGTGAAGTCAATCCTCAAAACAGACAGGAACTTGGCAGATGATGGCTACAAAGCTGTGTGGTTTAAGACTGATGTGGACCCCGAGGCTGGAGAGAGGGTTGAAGTGATTGAGGACAATGCAGCAGATGATGATGATGATGATGATGACAGTGACCAAGATCTGCAGAAGAATGAGGAGGAGGAGGAGGAGGAGGGAGAAAGTTCTGACACAGACAATCACCACCGAGGGCTGGAAGAGCCCTTTGCCTCAGAGAGCTCATCACCCCCAGCAGCAGAGGTGACAGCCAACATGTCTCACACAGGTGCAGGGACAGCTGACTCTAAGTTATAATGGAAATTGGGTACATACCCCCAGAAATGGGGCAACCTCAGTTTCTTTGCTGACATGAAGCCCATTTTTCTGCTCAGGGGGAAAACTGGAATGCAGAAGGGTGAGGTTATCTGTCCTGCTTGTCTGAATGCAGCAAATAAGGCCAGAAGAGATTACAGCTAATTTAACCCTTTGGTGAGATCTTAGAATATGATTTAGGATTTTCAGGATGAAGCATTTAATCTTTCCACCTTCCTGCCTGTTCCCCCTGGGTCCCTTGACATCACCTTTCCCAAACTGGCTGCAGGTACAGCAGAGCTGTAGCTGACCTGGCCTGCAGCAGCAAGCCCAGCTCACAGGAGCAGTTGTGTGTGGGCTCTGCTCTGTTCTCCCAGCAGAAGCAGCTGCAATGTGCCACCAGGCCCTTGTCCTGCCAGCCTTGTCCTGCCTGAGGCTCCATGCTCAGGACCTGCTGTTTCCTTTGTCACTGGTAAACAAGGACTGAACACATGTTCTTTACTGAAGGACTTTGTCATCCATTTTCTACGTCATAAACCCACTAATTGTGCGCTACTTTAGCTGTTTATCTGCTGTCTGTCTGGTAAAAGAGCTCCTGAGATATTGTCTTAAAGTGCCAAGTCTACTCTATTTCCAGGTAGCAGAGGGAAGGAAATATTTGATGCTCTTGTCTTGGTTTGCACCTCCCATCAACCAATCGCTTCTCTCAGCTGGCAGCCAAAAGCTGGGCTGGTTTCCACCAGCTGAGGTCATGGCTGTGTGCATTTGCATCTTCTGATCATCAGCACAAGATCTGTGCTGCTCCTGGAGAAGGAAACCAAAGAGTGACTGCTGGGATCTGCAGGAACATCAGAGCACATGTGATTCCCAGGGAGGCTTTTATCCTCTCGGGCCATACATGTCCCAGTGCTCCCATGCTCAGTCCTGCTCTCCTGTCTCTGAGGAATGCTGCCCTCCTGGACTTCAGGAGCTGTGTTTGTGCTGAAAATCAAGCCCAGGACCTGGGAAGCTTTCCTACTTCCTGCAGCAAAGCCATCTGCCTGGGAATTGCAGTGTGGAAATGGAGGGTGGGGAGTGCACCCAGTGTTTCCCACATGAAGAGTCCCTCCATCAGCTTTGGGATATCTCCAGGAAGCATTTCCTACAGGACTGTGAGAACTCTCTGGCAGCTGCTCACTGATCTGCCACCAGCAAGGCTGAGGGTCTAGCCTGCCTGCCCCCTGTGCTGGTGCTGCTCCTGGGAGGGCTGCTGATGGGGGGAGAAGCTGGAGTGCTTCTCTGCTCCATTTCCTTGGTGGCTGTGCCATGTGTGGTCAGTGCTCTGCTGTCTGTCTGCCTTCCCCCTGCTGCTGTGTACTCTGGATTTCTGCTGGCACACTGATTTATGAGCTCCCTGCGACTGCAATCTGTGTTCAGCTCTTGGTGCTTTCCCTCCCCTCACCAGTGTGCTTCCCATGCTCCTGGAATGGGACTGGTCCCATCAAAACAGTCTTTGTTGTCTCCCAGGTCCCATCAGTGCATACAGCCGTGGGGTTTGGAGTTTTTCAGGGTTATGGGTGTTTAATTTCAGAGGTGATGTTTGGTAAATATTGTGTCTGTGGAAGTGGTGGTGGCTGTTGTGAGGAGAAGCACAACAACACAATAATAAAACTTGGCAGCAGGCAGAGCTCAAATTCCAGCTATGCCTGTTAAAACCTCCAGATCCTGTGTTCTTGACTCCTGTATTTTTGGAAATAAATGAAGAAAAATGTGTAAGGAACAAGAAGAAAATGTAACCTTTTAAGTTCAAGTTCACGTGAGCTTGCATCTGTTCAGGTTGGTTTGTCTGCTGAGCTTGGGAAGGGTGACAGAGTTTTTGCTAGATCTCATCCTTACACTCCAAAGACATTCAAGTGCTTTTGGAAGTTTAACTCTACAGGTAGATTTAAGAAATCTCTGTCACCCCATCCCCAGTCAAGCTCTGTTTTTATTTCTGTACCAGCTTAGAATGATATTTTTTAGCATTTGTAATGCAGAGCTGTAAAAAGCTGGTCAGCAAATCTGCAGGAGGAGAAAGAGCAGTTTCAGTGGCTGTGCTAAGTGTGGATTTGAGGTTTTACAGGTGGGAGTGGCACAGATGCCAAGGGAGAGGATCCTCACAGCTTTCCAGCTTTGAGCACCCTCTCCTGATGTAACACAGACCTGGCATGTGCCTCTTTCACCTTCATTTTGGCCTCTAGAAGGAAAAGAAGGCTCTCAGCTGCCAGGGGAAACTCTAAAGCTGAATTGAAACCAGCAGGTGCAAGCAGAAAATAGGAAAAATCAAGTAAATACAGACATTTTACATGCAGGAAGTTACAGAAACTGACTGAAAAATTCCCAGGTGTCTGAAAATTAATTTCTGCTCAAATTTTGTCCCCATATAGAACTGAATTTCACATATTTCCTCGAGTGTCATTGGCATAACTGTCAGCAAATGCATCCTTTTGCCTTTCTTTTGCTTCTGAGAGAAAAATGCTGCTGGCACATGGCTTGCCAGAGTGTGGAGGACATTTGTTGTTCCAGTTTTGAAGAGATGGAAGAGAACTGGCGACCTTTCTCTTTGTATGTAGGATAGCAGAATGATCTAGCATGTATAAACTTCCAAATGATAAGCAATCAGAGATAGAAGACCTGTTTAAACCTGATTCCCCTTAGATATTGAGCAGCCTTAGCTCCAAAAGGGACGTGACAGAAAGTGGATGGGCTATTACACCAGTGAGTCAGGTTGTAGTCCCACCCCTGATCCTTCAGGAGCTGGCTCAGAGAAAACATGAAAACACACATTTTGGGGTTGAAAAATCTTTTGAAACATTTAAAAAAGGTAGTAATAGGAAAGAGAATGACTGATACTGTACAGTCAGTAGTGAACAAATGTGAAATCTTCTTTAGAAACAACCCTGATACAAGGAAGAGGATTGTGTTAGGAGTAACAAAGGCAGAGGATCTTCCTGGAATTACAGATAAATAGATTTTGCAGAGTTACCATGCAAAGAGGGATACTGGTACATACTGGAACTTCAGTGGATGGCCAGAAGCTTACTCCTGTCTCACTAACACAACCAAGGAAGTGGGGAAAGTTTTGCTCAATCATATAATTCCAAGGTTCAGGGTTCCCTTGGGGATGTCATCAGGGCAACACACTTTGTTGCAACAGTGGTTAAAGAAGTTATCTGGATTTGGAGAATTCCTTGGGACCTGCATACACCTTATAGGCCCCAAGTGAGTGGTAAAGTTAAACATATGAATGGGTCACAAATCAGCAAAATCTGTCAGGAAACATCCATGACATGAGTTCAGGCCTTGCCTATGGCTTTACTGAGAATCCACAGACAACCAAGGTGGAGGGATAACATCAGTCCCCATGAAATAATGTATGGCAGGCCATATCAAATCCCACATGTTCCAGGTGAAGTTCACATGAAGGGGAAACTTGATTTACAGAGATATCTAATGGCTTTAGGTTCCACTTTGCAGAAGGTGCAGAATTACATCGTGCTGTCCAGACCCACAGGACAGGACACACCTGCACATCCTGTCCTGCCTGGGGACTGGGTCTGTGCTGAGTGATGGGACAGTGATCCTCTGTAAGCCAAGTGGAGAGGACCATTCCAAATCCTGCTGATTGCCCTCACTGCAGTCAAAATTGCTGGCAAAGGACCCTGGGTTCACTACTCCAGAGTTAAGAAGGCTTCTGCTCCTGAAACAACTGTAAAAACAGAGACTGATGCAGACAAAAAACATGTTTTAAATGATTCCTCTTCTGTGCCTAAAAAACTGTTCATGATAATCACTATTCTTCTTTTCACGACAGCCAACTGTGCAAGACATTACTACTGTTAGATATTTACTGTTTTAGATATTTATGTATTGTTAGGTATTTATTTACTGTTAGATATTGCTGTCCTGGAATTTTCTTTGAGGGTAGTGACAAGACTTTTTCTACATCGGATCGGCGTATTTTGTGTTTTAGAAATCATTGATACATTTATTTCTTTTGCAAGTGCACACCACCATCTAATGGAGCCATTGAAAGGTGGCATTGGGAAGGTAAAAGTTTCTCCTTTAGTGAGGGATCAATGCAAATGGAGCAGTTCCTTTTGGGATCCTGCATCAGTGGGAGTGAAAAATGTGAAGGCATATAAACCCGAGAAGAATGTGAACAACACCGTGTTATGTGAGCACTTCAGGGATTGGGAAGGAAAGGTAATGCCTACAAATGTGCAGCAGTTTTCTCCTCTTGCCCATTTTGTGTACAAGGTTTTGTGTGATATTTTCAATTTTGTAGCTAGTGTCAAATGTGAAATAAGCTGATATTACATATGACTGGAGAGGAATTCATATTTCCCCTTGATTGTTGTGTGAATTAAACATTTGAAATGGATGGTGAAGAGCTGATGCAAATTCCTTCTCAGCTCAGTAGCTGCTGCTGCCATTAAAAAAGCCCTAGAACAAAAAAGACAGTGCTGGGCATCGCTTTTCCCCAACAATCTCAAACTGCACAACACACACTGTTGCTTTGCTTTTTACTTTCAGCTGTATGCACTCATATTTCTTCTCTTGCTAAGCCTAGCTCTATAATTTTAATCTGGCCACAAAAAGTGACAGGCACAAAGCAGTTTTTTAGGTTTAACATACACATCGAAGAATATCAACAATAGCACACCACTGGGGCTTTGAGTTTTCCTATCCTGCCACATGTACTAACACATTCTTTCTAACACGTGGGTCTTACAACAAACAGCTCTGGCAGCTTTCCTGTAAACTGCACTACACATACTGGTGCTGTGGTTTTTGTTTCCAGCTCTATACACCTTTACAGTTTTTCACTTTTGCAGAGTCTAGCTACAAAATTGAAAACATCTGGCAAAAATCTTGGTCACAAAAAGAGACCTGAAAAATTTTGCTGCCTCCTTTTATAACTTGCATCCTCTGAATTGTAAGATACACCATGGAGCTGTGCAGTTTTCTGCTGGACTTTATGTACTGTCGTAGAGCTCAACTTCAAAACTTAACAGGTTTAGTAAATTGTTACCATACTAAATGTCCTAGAACAAAAAAACCAGAGTTTTTAATTTTCTTCTTACAGCTTATAAACTGCTCACACGAAATTCTATGTTTTCTCCCTGTAATCCATACGACTGTGCACTTTCTGCCTTGCAGAGCCTAGTTACAAAATCAAACCCCAAAAAATTCAGCAGATAATCCACAGAATAAGTTCCAGAAGAAAGAGCAAGTGCTGGATTGAACCTTTCTTTTTCAACCTATAAACTGCACTTCCAAAAATAAGACTATTCTCTTTCCTTCCCAGATATATTCAGGATCTTGTTCTTTCAGTCTCGCAGAGCCAGGATCCAAAACTGCTCCCAAATAAAGGTGAGAGGAGAAAAAGCTCTTGGCTTGTCCCTGTCTCTGTGGCGGTTCAGCAGTTCCTCTAGATGGCGGTGTTTATTTGCAGAAAAAGGAAATGGACACTGGCTAAATAAACAACTCCAAGTGCAGAGACTGAAAACATCACTACTCAAACACTATGCCAGGACAGAAACGTGCTTGGTTTTAATTTCTGGATTCAACAAACGAAGTTTATAGCTGAGTTCACCTATTGAATACAATTCAGGCACCAAAAAGGTGCCAGGTTATAAAGCTGTAGCAGGCCTTTATCTACCATTGACAGCCAGAAGAGAACCAGGGCTCCCATGGAAAAGCACTTCCAAACACTTCCAAGAACACACCATCAAAATTCGAATAATATGTCCAATAATGAATATGTCCAAGGATTGCTCCAACACAAAATTTTCAGGACAGAAAGGCCTTGATGACCTTTGTCTCTGATGGGCAGCTGCATTAGTTGTATCCCTTCCTATGTAAAGGAATGCCCAGTTTTGATATTCTGTGTATAGCTAACTTTGAATATTTCCACTGAATTGCTCCCACATAAAGGGTCCCTGGACAAAATGTTCTTGCTGGCCTTTACCTCTGATGAGAATATTTTATCATTTACACCTTTGTTGAGGACTACACGGAGAGGTACAACAGGAGTACATGTAGACATGTACAACCCTGTCTTAAAGGCCATGAAGATCAGTGGTGACACCTAGGCAGAAGGACACTGGGGATCTCAGGGGAAAAAGCTGAATTTGTGCATGGGTGGACTGTGAAGTTTTAAAAACCAAGGGACTCCTCTGCTTGGGGTCCCTTGTCAGAGGCACTCAGCTCAAGCTGTTCCTGTGTCTCTCTGGCATGAGTGAGTTGCTTAATGGAACAATTTGTTAATATATTATGGAAAATCTGGTGTTGAACAGGTAAGGAGACCTGGTCTGTCTGTGTGAGAGTGGGGGTGTGTAGGGAGTCAAGCAATGCCCCACAGGGCTCACTGGCATTGCCCTCTATGAAGAGGCTCAGTCCCACCATCAAAGCATCTGGTGGTGGGAATGTGGCTGCAAGAGTACTTCCTGAAAGGTCTGAAAAGGACCTTTCCTTAATACAGAAATGCAGAAAATGTGAGAAAACACTGAAATTCTTGAGATACAAGCCCACCTGTGCTCTTTCAAAAGTATTTCAACCATAGCTAAATTTGATAGCTCTTATACGAATCTAAATTCAAGTGTTTGTATTTGTAAGAGAGCAGAGGAAAGGGAGGAAAGGCTGAGAGGCTCAAAACAACAGGGCAGGAAAGCAGTGG